CTACTCCCCTCCACACACTCTCCTACCTCTCCCCTCTCATCTCACTCTACTCCCCTCCACACACTCTCCTACCTCTCATCTCACTCTACTCCCCTCCACGCACTCTCCTACCTCTCCCCTCTCAGCTCACTCTACTCCCCTCCACACACTCTCCTACCTCTCATCTCACTCTACTCCCCTCCACACACTCTCCTACCTCTCCCCTCTCAGCTCACTCTACTCCCCTCCACACACTCTCCTACCTCTCCCCTCTCAGCTCACTCTACTCCCCTCCACGCACTCTCCTACCTCTCCCCTCTCATCTCACTCTACTCCCATCCACGCACTCTCCTACCTCTACCCTCTCATCTCACTCTACTCCCATCCACGCACTCTCCTACCTCTCCCCTCTCATCTCACTCCACTCCCCTCCACGCACTCTTACCTCTGGTCTCTTGACTTCTCACCCGGTTCAACAACAACAACAACAAATGAAACTACCCCTATCGATCCCGTGCGGATAACGGTTGAGCGCAGTTAAATATCGTGCCGGTGGCCGAGATTGTCCCACTCTCGCTCGGGGGGGGTGGGGGGTGGGGGGGGGGGCTTTCAGAGAGAGTGACAGAATGCCGAAGTCAGCACAGCGGAGATTCAAATCCCACCCGGGATGAAGCCAGGATCTCAACTATGCCTCGTTTGAAGTTTCCTGCACAGTCACAAAGACAAAGATCCTCACGGGTGTAGCCTTGTCAGTCCGTAGGGACAAGTGGCTGTTAGCGGCACGGCACGTGAAGGGGGTGGGTGGCCAGCACCGCGCCCGGCCGCCTTTGTCTCCAGAGTGCTGAAGTGTTTGTTGTTTTTTACACACCGCACCAGATACCCATTTAAGGCCGAGTCGACCTAGCTCACCGCTGTCACAATGATTGTTTCACACGCACGTGCGCGTGCGTGCGCATGCGGCAACACCAAAGCATCGTCGCCCTGCGCTTAGAGTCTCGACGCTTTTGGTGAGAGCCCAACGCTTGACAGCGAAAACATGTTCGTCTATTGTTTTTGTAAAAAGCCGTACTCTTCATCGGACGAACGACGCGTGGCGATCGGCCGTCGGCGGGGGAGGGTAACGCCGTTCGGCGTTGCGCCGGCGAGGGCGATTGAAGCGGCGGCTCTGAGTGCGACTTCCCCCGATCATCGTCTTCCCACCTCCCCCAAGTGGCACGTGATGATCCGCCAGCCGACAGCGGCGCCGCGGTCCAATCCTCTCGTCGTCGCCGTTGTTTAAAGGCCGGCGTCAACGGGAACGTTTTCGACCGCTCGCAGCGGCTTCTTATTTTTAAATCCTTTATATTAAGTTCGCTTGCTTGCTTGCGCGCTTACGACTGTGCAAATCTTTAGGTCGTTTTTTAACCCACTTTCCGTGATCCAATCGAGCTGACATTTTGCACACAGACTCGTTGTGCGTGACAATTAATTTTCGTGAAAATTTTTTTCCAAAATTTTACTTTTTAGGATTTTTTTTTATATTTAATTACCAATTGCTTAATGGTGGCAGGCAATCATCTGACCCATAGGTGGCAGCCATCTCAAGCCAGAGGACGAGAGGACTCTAGCCGCCACGCATATAAAGGATTTATAGTGAAAAACTTTGTTTTTACAGGTTAATTTTTTAAAATTCATGTTTAGCATCTTGCCACTACATACCTATCTTGATTTGAAGCTTTCGTGACTGCAGGAATCCATACGCATTGGTATTTTTGGTAAAGTCACGTAGGTATAAAATAAAATAAATATATATCACGACGTTTCGATCGCAACACAAGCGGTCGATATATTATTTTTTATTTTATTTTTCTACCTACGTGACTTTACCGAAAGAACCAAAGAGTACACTACATACCTGTCAACCCCTTGTCAGTGCCCTACCTTATTACAGACCAACTCAGACCTTATTGGTCAGCCCGTGCCCCTTATACATTTTCAACGTTCATCCTACAAAGTCCCATCGCAAGGGAGAAACACAAACAAATACACAATTAAATGTGTTGCCCGTATTGAAACAGCTGTACGCCGTATAAACCTGAAAACTTGATTTCCCTGTACAAGAATACGGGTAAACTACAGTAAAACCTTCGGTTTGCGAGCATTATTCGTTCCGGAAACGTGTTTGTCATCCAAAGCACTCGTATATCAAAGCACTGGTACATCAGTTGTGATCACGTGACGCTCGGCAGACAAAGCGTATACACGTACTACTCGTGTTGCAAGACCTCGCTCGTTTATCAAATTAATATTTTTTAAAAAGTTTGCTCGTCTTGCAAAACACTCGCAGACCAAGTTACTCGCAATCCAAGGTTTTACTGTAGATGGGTTGTCAGCTGTGACATTTATCTGCTTTGCACTTCGATCCTTTTTGTTGTGTGGGTTCACCGCAGTTAGCCGATTTGGCAGGATGCGTGTGGTGGTGGGTTAAGGTGTAAAGTGTGGTCTACTCACGCCTCTTCCAAGTATGGAAGAGTAGGCCAAAACAAAAACCTCTAGAGAGGCTCTCTTAGAGCTCTGGCTAGTGGAGGCACTTTTTTCAGCAGTGGCGTGACCAAGCAATTGCAGGGCTGCGCCTGTATTCTTTCTTCTTGGTTCTTTCAGTAAAGTCACGTAGAAGGGAAGTAATACAATAATAAAAATAAAACATAATAAAATAATTCTCACGACGTTTCGGCCACAACGCAAGCGGCCGAAACGTCGTGAGAATTATTTTATTATGTTTTATTTTTATTATTTTATTATTTCCCTTCTACGTGACTTTACCGAAAGAACCAAGAAGATGAATCCCTGCAGTCACGAAAGCTTTACATCGAAATGTACCCTTTCTGTTTACCCTACCAGGGTCAGGATGTCATTACATTTTGTTTTTTTAAATCCTTTATATTAAGTTCGCGTGCTTGCTTGCGTGCTTGCTTGCTTAGGACCGTGCAAATCTTTCGGTCGTTTTTTAACCCACTTCCCGTGATCCAATCGAGCTGACATTTTCCACACAGACTCGTTGTGCCAGACAATTATTGTTCGTGAAAAAAAATTCCCAAAATTTTACACTTTTTAGGCAAAAAAAAAGTATTTTACATATATTCAAATAGAACGCATTCATGGCTTTGGCTGAACGTCAGAGTGTAGGAGCCCAGAGCGTAACTCTCCACAGGCCGTGGCGGAGTAGCGCAGTTGGTAGCGCCCTCGCTTCCCATGCCAAAGGTCGCGGGATCGATCCCCGCGTCCTCCACAGGCGAATATATTTTTAAATCCTTTATATTAAGTTCGCTGCCACACATATAAAGGGTTTATAGTAAAAAACTTTGTTTTTACGGGGTATACTTATTACTGCCATATAAATTTAATTCATTGACCCCTGCGGATCTTCAACCGGCGATTTGGCTCAGCTGGTATAGTGAGCGACTCGCAATTCGAATGTCGTGAGTTCAAACCCTGGCTGGGAGGGAGGGAGGGAGGGGGATGTGGGGGTTGACTCGGCCCCTATCATCCCTCGGGACGATAAAATCAGTACTACTTTATGCAGTGCCAGGATGAAGCGAGTGCGGGGCCTATAGCATGATGTTATGAAGGGGACCTAAATAAAAAAAACACGCAGATTTTTCACTTGCATAGTAAAGTGATTGTATTTTTTCATTTGCTATACAGCCAGATGATACGACAAATCGCTAACCTTAAACACCCGGTCGTTTATAAAAGTTGAAGGCGGTACAGTACTATAGTAATAGAGCAAGTGCAGAATCACTGAACCGGAATTGATGGCTTGAAAGCATTTAGCGCGGGGCCCTTGAAAGTGCGTGGCCCGTAGCATGTCTAGCTACTTGTGCTACCGGGATAATCCGGCACTGACTTTATGGGGAAATGCAACGTTTTTCCCATGGATAGATTCGTCCCCATCATCATCATCGCGATCCACAGGGCAGATATCCCCGTAGGTATCCACTGCACACTTCATATTTTTTTCCCCACTTTCCTCTGTCTCGTGCCAATATCTTTCTGACGCCAATCTCATACGTGGCCGTGAATCTATTCTCTGTCAGGTCTTCCTCTCCGTCCTGTTCCTTCCATTTTTCCCAGCACCACACTTTTAATTTTCCTGCTGTTGTCCATCCTCCTACACGTGTGTCCAAATGGTGCCAGTTTCCTTCTCATCACTGCCTGCACGGTCAGGCCTTATTCTACGTGCAGCCGTCATGGGAAGGAATAATTCACATGACTGGCTCAAGGGGTCTAAAGGGAGATGGGGCACTGTTCCAATTCTCCTCCGAGCAGGAAGTCACACTTTTAAATCTTGTTGCTGTGAGCACATGAGCCCTGATTAGTCATAATAATTCAATTTATATAGCGGCTTTACATCGAGGATCTCGAAGCTCTGTACAGGACACAGCAGCAGCAGACACTCAGCATAACAATAATTTAAATACATTTTAAGAATAATTTACTAAATGACCTAAAAGTTTAATAAGCAGAAGCGTATAAATAAGTTTTGAGGCGCATTTTAAACAAATGTCCACAGACTCTGAGAGATCCATCTGATGTCACGTGGAAGAGCGTTCCGTAGCCTGGGGGCTACACGGGACAAACCTCAGTCACCCGTAGACCTTGAGGGGACATATGGGTACAGCATATCAAATGATTCATAATCAACGTTTTTGGGTTTAGATCGCGTTATTTATAAATGTGTCGTAACCCTCCACCACCCGACACGGCCAATCAGTAAAAAAGTGTCACGTTGACAAAAGACAAATAGTTCACTGCTTTAGCCCACCGGTGTGTTGAAGCGTGAAATCACAACATTTACAATTTGAGTTGTACGACGTTTCACTGGTAATTGCATCCAGCATCATCGGGCAATTCGCCAGAATTATGAATACTATTGGTCGCGAAAGCCTACGTGTTAAAATGTCAAATGATGTAGGCTGCGGCAAGATGGTTCACTGCTTTGTAAGGTAACACTTTGATATTGTGTCCCTCTCTTCCCCCAGTGATGTTTGAAGATCACAGCTACTTGCTGACAGTGTCCGGCCAGAAGATTTTCGTGGTGAAGAGGAAGAGATCTCCGTCGTGTCCCAAAGAAGCATAAGAACGAGGAGACATCACGATTCACGCCGATGGTAGTGGCTGTTATTAAACCCAGTAGTTCTCAGCCTTGTTGGGGTTGTGGCCCCCCAATCCAGACAACAATTCCCAGGGTCCCCCCAAAGTTACTTCGAACAGCACGGTTGGATACGTATGGTGCGAAAGACGTTCAACATACATACATACTGAGACCAGTATTAACACGTAGGCTTTCGCGACCAACATCATCCATAATACAGGTTTTTTTTGGTGAGATCGCGGAAATATATAAAAGTGTCGTTAAACCTGCCACCACCCGACACAGCCAACTAGTAAGGGTTGTCACTTAAATAGAACGTGGCCAATTCGTTGCTAGTACAGCACTAACCGGTGTGTTGGAGAGCAAAGCCACAACATTTACAATCTGAGTACGACATTTCGCCAGTAATTACAACTAGCTTCAGTAATTGCAACAAGCTTAATTGATGAAGCTAGTTGTAATTTCTGGTGAAACGTCGTACTCAAGATTGTAAATGTTCTGGCTTTGCTCTTCAACACACCGGTTAGTGCTGTACTAGTAATTGGCTGTGTCGGTGGTGGCGGGTTTAGCGATCTAACCCAAACAAACTTGTATTGTGGATGAGAACAGCACACACGAATATTATTACGACACATTCACACCCCTAGTCATTGTGGTGTTAGCAAGTCACGTGTTTCACGCTGCGCATCCGTCTGCGTTTTTGTCACCGCACGCGACGCCGAAGCTCCCCGCACACCTTTTTAACATTTCTCCTGCACGGTATCCCTGCTGCAGACTCCTGTGTGTCCCCCCCCCCCCCCCCTCTGCGAGGCGACCGGGGCACGCCCCGCAGGTTTGAGAGCCCCGTGGGCTGAACGTGGCACGCGGCGCTGCACACGCACCACGCCCCACGTGTGCACGCACTACAGTTTGTTGAAAAAGTGAAAAGTTTTTTTGCGCTACGTTCACACGCGCACGCACACGCACGCACACGCACGCGCACGCTTCACACGTGCGCTTCCCACGTGCACGAGCGCGTGTGAAGCGCATAGACAAGTCAGGGCACACAGACGCACACGTCGTAATACAGAGGCAAAGGTACCCCCCCCCCCAGGAGCCTCGGCAGACTTCTGGGGCAAGTGCTGTTGGCGAGAACGGCACGCGAAGGGGTTGGTGTTCAGCACGGGGCTCCGACGCCGTTGTCATCGCGCCGCGCCTGGCCCCCATTTAAGGCTGAATCTACCTAGGGGGGGGAGGTCCCAGAACCGGTTCGGATGTTCGTCACTGACGTTGGCCGTGAGCGGGAATCGAACTTGGGTCGCGGGGTTACGCAGACGCGCACGCACACAAACAAAGACAAAGATCCCACTCTCCCCGTTATAGCCTTAACAGACTCTTCGGGGCAAGTGCTGTTGGCGAGCGCCTATGAACACAGTCGGGCACGTACGCATCACGGAACACTGGCATGCATTCACGCGCGCATCCGTGCGCTCACCACGAACCGGACGCTGTTAGTGCGTCGCGACGTTTGGGAAGCTTCGCTCGAAATCGCTGCTCCTGCTGCTGCTGCTGCTGCTTCTTCTATGGGAGATCACGGTGGCAGCGTTGGTCCGAATACATTTGTAAGTGGGCTCGCTGCGCGTGGGCCTTCGTTGCGTGGACATCCGCAAAATTTGCAAATAAATGCGCGCGGATAATAACGCGACGTTGTCTCGTGAAACTCGGCACGGCGTGGAGCGGCTCGGTCATGATGATTACATCATGTCGCGCGCGCTTGTCTTTGTTTTACCCCGCAAAGTCTCACCGAGTCTCGAGGCTGAGTGAGTTTCGAGGAGGGATCTGCCAGGTTACGTGCGGTCTGGGGCGCCGTTGCTGTGTGGGTGTCATCAGTGCCGGACGAAGCTAGTGGGGGGCCTGTAGCATGATATTATAAAGGGGCCCTAAATAAAAAAAACACGTAAATATTTAAACACAACATTTTTAACTTGCATAGTAAAGTAATTGGATTTTTTTATTCATTATACAGCCATATAATACGACAAATCGCTCATCTTAAACACCCAATCGTTCGTAAAAGTCGAAGCCGGTATAGTACTATAGTAATAGAGCAAGTGCAGAATCACTCAACCGGAATTGATAGCTTGAAAGCATTTAGCGCGGGGCCCTTGAAAGTGCGGGGCCCGTAGCATCGTGTGTAGCTACTTGTGCCACTCGAATAATCCGGCGCTGGGTGTCAGCCCAATTGAGTCACATTTAGCATTGGGATGATCGGCCGATACCAGTCACATCGTATGCTGCCGATGATGACAGCGCTTGCCTCTGTCAGCCGACGACGATGTTGCTACTCGTCTTCAAAAGTCTTTCATCAATTTGCTCCGTCCTATTTCGCCGATCGGTGCGTCCCGGCTTCAACGGTCACCAAATCGACTCCGCGGTGACTCGCGGCGACGCTGCGGCTGAGATCCGCCGCATGTAGACCTCGGAGCGCGATGCGCCTCAGCGGAGTTTCGGGAATCCATCCCGAAGTCAGGAGCCAGTTCCGCCAAAAGTGTTGTTTCAGAGAGCCTCCGTCAACGTGCGGTCAATGCACATTCGTGATGGACTGGACCCGTGAGAATGCACAATATCAAATGTTCTTACCGCTTTTGATGGTGCTGCTGCTGATGATGCTGATGAGGATAATAATACATAATACCATACTTGCCAATACTTGAGGCGGTAGCTAATCATATCGGTTTACATGTTTGGGGGGGGGGGAATGTAAAATATTTGGCTTCAAAATCGGTGAAAGGGGTAAAAGAGTTTAAACGTTGGCAGCCTGCCGGCGAGTTCGTTGGCTTTAGGAAGTGATACAAAGGTGACTCAGCAGTAGAGCAAGCGGCTTGCAATCGGAAGGTGTGGAGTTCAAATCCTGGTTGGTGGGTTGACTCGGCCCCATCATCCCTCCAACAGGGTTGATAAAATAGGTACTTTTTTGGAGGGGGCTGTGGGAAGCTATCCTATGGACAAACTCGCCCCTGCCATAGGAATGTGGAATTTCCACAACTGACTCAGCAGGGCTGCAAACGGGAGACAAGCACCAACGACTCGAATGCTAAATTTTGAGCAGCAAGGAAATCCCTTTGCTTGTGCTGATGGTGATGTTACCACTGCTGCTGATGGTGATGTTGCTGCTGATGATGATGGTGATGTTGCTGCTGATGATGATGGTGATGTTACCACTGCTGATGATGATGGTGATGTTGCTGCTGATGATGATGGTGATGTTGCTGCTGATGATGATGGTGATGTTGCTGCTGATGATGATGGTGATGTTACCACTGCTGATGATGATGGTGATGTTGCTGCTGATGATGATGGTGATGTTGCTGCTGATGATGATGGTGATGTTGCTGCTGATGATGATGGTGATGTTACCACTGCTGATGATGATGGTGATGTTGCTGCTGCTGATGATGATGGTGATGTTGCTGCTGATGATGATGGTGATGTTGCTGCTGATGATGATGGTGATGTTACCACTGCCGCTGATGGTGATGTTGCTGCTGATGATGATGGTGATGTTGCTGCTGATGGTGATGTTGCTGCTGCTGATGGTGATGTTGCTGCTGATGGTGATGTTGCTGCTGATGATGATGGTGATGTTGCTGCTGATGGTGATGTTGCTGCTGCTGATGGTGATGTTGCTGCTGATGATGATGTTGCTGTTGATGATGATGGTGATGTTACCACTGCTGCTGCTGGTGATGTTGCTGCTGATGATGATGGTGATGTTGCTGTTGATGATGATGGTGATGTTACCACTGCTGCTGCTGGTGATGTTGCTGCTGATGATGATGGTGATGTTACCACTGCTGATGATGATGGTGATGTTGCTGCTGATGATGATGGTGATGTTACCACTGCTGATGATGATGGTGATGTTGCTGCTGATGATGATGGTGATGTTGCCACTGCTGCTGATGGTGATGTTGCTGCTGATGATGATGGTGATGATGGTGATGTTGCTGCTGATGATGATGGTGATGTTACCACTGCTGATGATGGTGATGTTGCTGCTGCTGGTGATGTTGCTGCTGATGGTGATGGTGATGTTGCTGCTGATGATGATGGTGATGTTGCCACTGCTGCTGATGGTGTTGTTGCTGCTGATGATGATGGTGATGTTGCTGCTGATGATGATGGTAATGTTACCACTGCTGCTGATGGTGATGTTGCTGCTGATGGTGATGTTGCCACTCTGCTGATGGTGATGCTGGCTGCTGATAATGATGGTGATGTTACCTTTGCACCGCGCCAGAACAGCGAAAATGTCAAACTGCTCTGCGTTTGAAAATCAACACATTTGCCCGGCGATGCTACCGCTGCCTGCGTTGACAGCGGTGCAACAAACGCAAACAAACAACAACAACAACAAAACACGTCGGCCCTAAAAAGAAAACGGATAAAAGAGGCGACGTTTCTGGCAGATGGTCATCCTCACTCACGGCACACACACACACACACAGCGAGCGGGCCAGACTCTTGCCTCTCTGGCCTACGTGGCGAAGGGCCACAGCCCGAAACGTCGCCTATATCAACACGCTCTTCCTTTCCAAGGAGCGCCAGTTGCCTACCATCGCCGACCTTCGGCGAGTTTTTTTGTTTAATGTTTTTGTGTACGTCGTGGATAAAATCACCGGCCTCGCGTCTCCACGGTTATGCGGCGAGGCTCCGGCAGGAGCTGTCGAAACCGGCGGCTTCCCAAAACAAAAACAACAACAACAGCGACAACAACAACAAACCCCCCCGACCCCCCATAATACATGAAATCTGTTGGGTGTCATAACTGGTCCACTCCAACATCAAAGGGGCGGATTTCGGGGAGAGGGGTTTCGTGGAGTGATGAAGGAGCTGATGGTTTCCCTGCGCTCACAACTGAAGCTTCTTGGCGTCGGGGAGGTGCAGAAATGTTCACGGAGTTGACGACGCCGTGGAGGGAGCAAGTCGACCCAGCGAAGGAAGAGAGACACGTGCCAATGCACGTGCGTCTTTGTGCGTGTGTGTGTGTCTGTCTGTCTGCGTGTGTGTCTGTTTGTGGGTCTGTGTGTGTGTGCGTGTGTCTGTGTGTGTTTTTCTGTGCGTCTGTGTCTCCGTGTGTGTGGTGGGGAGCGGCGGTGTAGTGGTTAGCGCTGCGCTGCGCTACGAACCCGGAGAACCCGAGTTCGATTCCCGCTCACGGCCAACACCGGTGTGATCTCCCGTTCCTGTCGATCCCCGCCCCAAACCACCGCCGCCGCCTCCCCACCACCTCCCACGCCCCCCCACCACCTCCCCTGCCCCCCCCCCCACCACCTCCCCTGCCCCCCCCCCCACCACCTCCCCCCCCACATCCACCCTACCACCTCCCCCGCCCCCCTCCCCCCCCATTCACCACCTCCCCCGCCCCCCCCCATTCACCACCTCCCCCGCCCCCCCCCCCATTCACCACCTCCCCCGCCCCCCCCCCCCCATTCACCACCTCCCCCCCCACATCCACCCTACCACCTCCCCCCCCACCACCTCCCCCCCCCCACATACCCCCCCCCCACATACCCCCCCCACCACCAGCCCGTGATTTCCCAGCGGTGCCCCGCGCTGGATAACAACGCGGCACCGCGCGCGCCTTAAAAATAAACGGCGCTCCCCGGCGGCCCCCGGGGAGCGCCGGGCCGCGAGCGCTAATTTGGCTTAACGAGCGCTGCTCATGCAACGCGACACCACCGCGGTCGTGACGCCGCCCGTTACCACAGCCCCCGGGATTGATGTTGCATTTATTTATTTATAATCCCCTCCGAGGCCACGTGTTCCCCCACTCCCCCCCCCTTTCTCTCTTCCCGTACCCCCCCCCCCACCCCCCAATTCCATTGCAAGCTAATTATCATTCTCACCGTGCAAACAATTTGGTTTTAATTACGATCGTTATTAATCGTTGCCGTGTTCTCACCCACACCCCCTCCCCCCTTGCCACTTTAGCTACGAGAATCACCTGGGGGTGCGAATCGATTACTCGGGTGGGGGGGGGGGGCATAATCATGAATTCACTCACACACGTGTCACTCCACTGCTGGACGAAGGCTCCCCCCCGCCCACCACAACGCCGTTGTTGGTCCCAGGAATTGGCTCAGAATTCGGATCGATTAATCGCCCCGCAACTGGGATGTTTTTACCGTGGGCAGGAATCAAACTCGGGGCTCTGAGTTGCGATTGCTTGCTGGCGGAAAGGCCTCCAGGAGGGCTCGAAGCCAGTGGGGCTCTTCACATTTACTGCAGCCTGGCACCCTCTTTGGTTGTCAGAAAGGGCATCTCGCACCCCCAGAGAGGGCATCAGCACGCACCCACAGGGGATGCGTGCACCCACAGGTTCAGAAGAAGAAGAAGAAGCACCACCGCTCTAGACGAGGCAACGCGCCTCTCTGTTGCGAATGTTTTCTTTGTTGGGCATCACTCCCTTTTCACGCTGGGCCACAAACGTGTTGGAAGAGTTGCGAAGTGAACCTACGCGCGATATCCCACCACGCGCGATGGGCGGTTACGTTCTTAAAAATCTGCTGCGAAAAGTCGTACCGCATTCGCGAATGTAGATAGGGTACTGTGTTTATATTTGGGTGGGGTGGGGTTAATTCTAGATTTGAAGCTTTCGTGACTGCAAAAATTCATACTCTTAGGTTTTTTCGGTAAA